ATTCCAGGAGGGAAAAATCCCGGGAATTCACAGCCGAGAAATCCCGGGAATGCCGAATTCCAGGAGGGAAAAATCCCGGGAATTCCAGGTGGGAAAAACAACGGGAATTCCAGGAGGGAAAAGAATGGGAATTCACAGCCGGGAAAACAACGGGAATGTGGAATTCCAGGAGGGAAAACTACGGGAATTCACAGCCGGAAAAACAACGGGAGTGCGGAATTCCAGGAGGGAAAAGAACGGGAATTCACAGCCGGGAAAACAACGGGAATGTGGAATTTCCAGATGGGAAAAATCTCAGGAATTCCCAGTGGGAAAACAACGGGAATTCACAGCCAGAAAAACAACGGGAGTGCGGAATTCCCAGAGGGAAAATCCCGGGAATTCACAGCCGGGAAAACAGCCGGAGTGCGGAATTCCCAGTGGGAAAAGAATGGGAATTCACAGCCGGGAAAACAACGGGAATTCGGAATTCCCAGCGGGATAAATCCCGTGAATGCGGAATTCCCAGGCAGGAAAACAACAGGAATTCCCAGCCAGGAAAAGAATGGGAATGCAGAATTCCAGACGGGAAAACTACAGGAATTCACAGCGGGAAAACAATGGGAATTCACAGCCGGATAAACAACGGGAATGCCGGATTCACGGAGGGAAAACAACAGGAATTCACAGCCGGGAAAACAACGGGAATGCGGAATTCCTGGCGGGAAAAAATCCCGGGAATTCACAGCCGGGAAAACAACGGGAGTGCGGAATTCCAGGAGGGAAAACTATGGGAATTCCAGGTGGGAAAAACAACGGGAGTGCGGAATTCCCAGAGGGAAAAATCCCGGGAATTCACAGCCAGGAAAACAATGGGAATGCAGAATTCCAGGCAGGAAAAGAATGGGAATTCCGGATTCCCAGCTGGAAAAACAATGGGAATTCCCCATTCCCAGACAGCAAAACAATGGGAATTCCCCATTCCCAGAAGGAAAAAAAATGGGAATTCCCCATTTCCAGCCAGAAAAACGGGAATTCCCCATTCCCAGACAGAAAAAGAACGGGAATTCCGGAATTCCCAACCGGAAAAATTCGAATGGGCACATGGGAAATGGGAATTCCCAGCCGGAAAATCAACGTGAATTCCGGAATTCCCAGCCAGAAAAACAATGGGAATTCCCCGAATTCACAGCTGGAAAATCAACGGGAATTCCGGAATTCACACACAGAAAAATGGGAATTTGTGCTTGGAAATGGGAATTCCAAAACTCCCCCCTGGAAAAACGGGAATTTGTGCTGGGAAAACGGGAATTCACACCTGGAAAAACAACGGGAATTCCCCAATTCACAGCCAGAAAAAAAAAATGGGAATTTTGGGCAGAACCCTGGGGAATGTTGGGAATAGCTTGGGGAATTTTGGGAAAATTTTGGGAAAAGAATCAGGAATTTTGGGGAATTTTATAAAAACCCCTCAGGAATTTTGGGGGAATTTTGGGAAAACCCCTCAGGAATTTTGGGAAAACCCCTCAGGAATTTTGAGAATAGCCTGGGGAATTTTGGGAAAACCCCTCCAGAAATTTGGGAATAACCTCTCAGGAATTTTGGGGAATTTTATAAAAACCCCTCAGGAATTTTGGGGGAATTTTGGGGGAATTTTGGGAAAACCCCTCCAGAATTTTGGGAAAAGAGTCAGGAATTTTGGGGAATTTTATAAAAACCCCTCAGGAATTTTGGGGAAAATTTGGGAAAAACCCTCCGGAATTTTGGGAAAACCCTCCGGAATTTTGGGAATAGCCTGGGGAATTATGGGAAAATTTTAGGAAAGACCTCTCAGGAATTTCAGGAAATTTTATAAAAACCCCTCAGGAATTTTGGGGGAAATTTAGGAAAAACCCTCCGGAATTTTGGGAAAAACCCTCCGGAATTTTGGGAAAAACCCTCCGGAATTTTGGGGAAAACCCTCCGGAATTTTGGGAATAACCTGGGGATATTTTGGGAATAACCTGGGGATATTTTGGGAAAATTTTGGGAAAAGCCCTCCGGAATTTTGGGAATAACCTGGGGATATTTTGGGAAAATTTTGGGAAAAGCCCTCCGGAATTTTGGGGACTTTCAGGAAATCCCAGGGGAATTTTGAGAGAAAACCTCGGGAATTTTTGCCCAAAAATTTGGGGAATTTTGGGCAGAACCCTGGGGAATGTTGGGAATGTTGGGAATTTTGGGAATGTTGGGAATTTTGGGAATTCGGGCACTCACGGCTCGGCCTTGGGGCGCGGCGACGCCTCCGGAACGGCCCCGAGGGGCGGCGGCTCCGCGGCTGCGGAAAAAACACGGAAAATTTGGGAATTTGGGGAATTTTTGGGATTTCTGGGATTTTTTTGGGGGATTTTTGAAAGGATTTTTAAGCAATGTTTCAAGATTTTAAGAGAATTCTTTAGGATATTTAAAAATTCTTAGGAATTTTCGTAAAATTTTGGGAATTTTTTAGGAATTTTTGGGAAAATTTTTGGGATTTTTGGGCAAATTTTTGGGATTTTTTAAAAGGATTTTTAGGGAATTTTTCAGGATTTGTAGAAAACTTTTCAGGATTTAAAAAAATTTTTGGGAATTTTGGGGGGAATTTTTGGAAAAAATTGGGAATTTTGGGGGATTTGTGGAAGGGAATTTTTAGGGATTTTTAGGAATTTTTGGGGATTTTTTGGGGCATTTTGGGGCATTTTTGGGAATTTGGGGAGTTTGGGGGAATTTGGGGATTTTTGGGGATTTTTTAGGGGGATTTTTGAAAGGATTTTTAAGCAATTTTTCAAGATTTTAAGAGCATTCTTTAGGATATTTAAAAATTCTTAGGAATTTTCGTAAAATTTTGGGAATTTTTTAGGAATTTTTGGGAAAATTTGGGAATTTTTGGGCAAATTTTTGGGATTTTTTAAAAGGATTTTTTAGGGAATTTTTCAGGATTTGTAGAAAACTTTTCAGGATTTAAAAAAATTTTTAGGAATTTTCTTGAAATTTTGGGAATTTTGGGGGGAATTTTTGGAAAAAATTGGGAATTTTGGGGGATTTGTGGAAAGGAATTTTTTGAATTTTTGAGATTTTTAGAAATTTTTGGGGATTTTTTGGGCATTTTGGGGAATTCTTTGGGCATTTTGGGGAATATTTGGGAATTTGGGGAGTTTGGGGGAATTTTGGGATTTTTGGGGACTTTTTAGGGGGATTTTTGAAAGGATTTTTAAGCAATTTTTCAAGATTTTAAGAGAATTCTTTAGGATATTTTAAAATTCTTAGGAATTTTCTTAAAATTTTGGGAATTTTTTAGGAATTTTTGGGAATTTTTGGGAATTTTTGGGCAAATTTTGGTGATTTTTTTAAAAGGATTTTTTAGGGAATTTTTCAGGATTTTTTTGGAGCAATTATTCAGGATTTGAAGAAAAATTTCAGGATTTTAAAAAATTTTAAGGAATTTTCTTGAAATTTTGGGAGTTTTGGAGGGAATTTTTGGGAAAATTTGGGAATTTTGGGGGATTTTTGGAAAGGAATTCTTTGAATTTTTAGAGATTTGTAGGAATTTTTGGGGATTTTTGGGCATTTTGGGGAATTTTTGGGGCATTTTAGAGAATTTTCAGGGAATTTTGGGGAATTTTGGGGATTTTTTGAGGAATTTTGGGATTTCTGGGGATTTTTTGGGTATTTTTCGAATTTTTTGGGAATTTTTTGGCAAATTTTTGGGATTTTTTTTAAAGGAATTTTGAGCAATTTTCAAAGATTTTTAGAGAATTTTCCAGGTTTTTTCAAAATTTTTAGGCATTTTCTTGGAATTTTGGGAACATTTTTGGGAATTTTAGGAAAGGAATTTTTAGGAATTTTTGGAGAATTTTTGGGGATTGCTTTAGAAATGTTGGGGGATTTTTTGGGGCGATTTTGGGGAATTTTTTGGTCATTTTGGGGATTTTTTTAAAGAATTTGGAAAGTTTTTGAGGATTTTTGGGGAATTTTTGGGAATTTTTGGGCAATTTTGGAGGATTTTCTAAAGGATCTTTGGGCAATCTTTTGAGATTTTTAAGGAATTTTTTAGGATTTAAAAAAAATTTTAGGCATTTTCTTGAAATTTTAGAAACTTTTTTGGGAATTTTGGGGGAAATTTTTCGAGGAGACTTTTTGAATTTTTGAGATTTTTGGGGAATTTTTTGGGAAATTTTTTGGGGAATTTTTTGGGAAATTTTGGGAGATTTTTGGGCATTTTGGGGAATTTTTTGGGCAATTTTGGAGAATTATGGGGGATTTTGAGGGAATTTGGGATGTTTTTGAGGAATTTTGGGATTTTGGGGGATTATTTTGGGGCATTTTTTTGGTTTTTGGGAATTTTTGGGATTTTTTTTTGGATTTTGGGGAAATTTGGGAACTTAGGGGGATTTTTTGGGAAATTTTTTTAGGGATTTTTGGACAATTTTTTGGGACTTTTTGAGGAATTTTTTTGATTTTTTAAAATATCTTGGGGAATTTTTAGGGATTTTTTTTTGTTTTCTGGGATTTTTTAAAAATTTTAGAGAATTTTGAAGGAATTTTGGAGAATTTTTTTATGTTTTTGGATTTTTGGGAGATTTTTTGGGGTTTTTCAGGATTTTTGGGAATTTTTTTTTAATTTTGGGGGAAATTTGGGGAAAATTTTGGGGAGTTTTTGGGATTTTCTGGGAATTTTGGGATTATTTTGGGAATATCTGGGATTGTTGGGAATTTTTAAGACTTTTTGGGGAATTTTGGGGATTTTGTGGGATTTTTGTGCAAATATTTCAGGATTTTTTGGGACTTTTAGGGAATTTTTAGGGATTTTGGGAATTTTTTTTTTATTTCCCCCCCTGCTCCCCCTTCCCCCCCTTCGGAATTTTCTGGAATTTTCCCAGAAATTCAGGAAATTTCTGGAATTTTCTGGAATTTTTTCCCTGCAAATTTTTCTGGGTTTTTTTTTTCTTTTCTTTGTGTGTTTTTTTTTTATTATTTTTCATTTTTCTGAAAATTTTCCATAATTTTTCTGGGAATTTCTCGAATTTTCCAGATTTTTTTTCATCCCAGATTTTTCCTGGTATTTTTCCAGCCTTTTTCCCTAAAAAATTTTCCAGAATTTTTGAAAATTTCACTGAATTTTCCCCGGAATTTTTCAGCCTTTTTTTTTTAAATTTCTCACAATTTTCCTGGAATTTCACATCATTTTCTGGGATTTTTCAGGAATTTTCTGGGATTTTTCAGGAATTTTCAGGAATTTTCTGGAATTCCAGGATTATTTTTTTCCCACAGAATTTTCCTTTTATTTTTAAAGGTTTGGTTTTTTTTTTTCCCAGAATTTCCCAGAATTTCCCGGAATTTTTTTTAAATTTTCCTGAATTTTCCAGAAATTTCCAAAATTCGAGGGAATTTTATGGAATTTCCCAGAAATTTTCTGGAAATTTTTTTTTTTTAAATTTCCCATAATTTTACTGTAGTTTCATTGAATTTTCCAGATTTTTTTGGAATTTTATTTTTTATTTCTCAGAATTTCCAGAAATTTTCTGTAACTCAATGGAATTTCTCAGAAATTTTCTGGAATTTTTTTTTTTTTTTAAGTTTCCCGGAATTTTCCAGAATTTATTTTGTAATTTCATGGGATTTTCCAGAAATTTTCTGGAAATTTTTTCTTAATTCCTCAGAATTTCCAGAAAATTTTGAACATTTTTTTTTTTTTGTTTCCCAGAATTTTCTGGAATTTTTTTTTTTTTATTTATTCCTCAGAATTTCCAGGAATTGTTGGAATTTTCATTTTTAAAGTTTCCTGGAATTTCCTGCAATTTTTTTTGAATTTTCCAAAATTTTCTTTAAAAATTTCTCAGCATTTCCAAAAATTTTTAGACTTTTTTAAAAAAGTTTCCCAGAATTTTCCAGAAATTTTCTGTAAATTCATGGCATTTTCCAGAAATTTTCTGGAATTTTTTTTTTTTTTTTAAGTTTCCCGGAATTTTCCGGAATTTTTCTGTAATTTCACTGAATTTCCCAGAATTTTTAGGATTATTTTTTATTAAATTGCTCCGAATTTCCATAAAATGTTGGGATTTTTCCCATTTTCCGGGATGTTCCCGAATTCCTGGCATTTCCGTACCTGTGGGGGCTCTGCTGGGCTGCAGGGGGGTCACTGCCGACATTCCCGACATTCCCGGAATTCCCGGAATTCCCGGAATTCCCGGAATTCCGGCGTCGCTCCCGGGCGCCGCTTTCTCCAGGGGGGGCAGGAGCTGCTCCAGCTGCTCCAGCTCGGCCGAGAACTGCGGGAAAAGAGGGAAAATTCGGGATCAAAGAGGGCCAAAAATCCGGGAATCAACTGGGAAAAATCTCAAAAAGAACTGGGGAAAAAATCTGGGATTAACTGGGAAAAATCCCAAAAGAAACTGGGAAAAATTCTGGGATTAACTGGGAAAAATTCTGGGATTATTTCGGAAAATCCTGGAATAAACAGGGAAAAAGTCCAGGATTAACTGGGAAAAATCCCAAAAGGAACTGGGAAAAATCTGGAATTAACTGGGTGAAATCCCAAAAGGAACTGGGAAAAAGTCTGGGATTAACTGGGGGAAATCCCAAAAGAAATTGGGAAAAAAATCTGGGATTAACTGGGAAAAATCCCAAAATAAACTGGGGAAAATTCTGGTATAAACTGGGAAAAATCCCAAAAGGAACTGGGGAAAATCCCAAAAAGAAATGGGGAAAAATCTGGGATTAACTGGGAAAAATCCCAAAAGAAAGTGGGAAAATAATCTGGGATTAACTGGGAAAAGTTCTGGAATAAGGTGAGAAAAATCTTGGGATCAACCAGGAAAAATCCTGAAATAAACTCGGAAAATATCCGGGATTAACTGGGAAAAATCCCAAAAGAAACTGGGAAAAATCCCAAAAGAAACTGGGAAAAATCCCAAAAGAAACTGGGAAAAATTCTGGGATTAACCGGGAAAATTCCTGGAATAAACTGGGGAAATTCTTGGGATTAACTGGGAAAAATTCTGGGATTAACTGGGAAAAATCCCAGAATAAAACAAGAAAAATTCTGGGATCAGATGGGAAAAATCCCAAAATAAACTGGGAAAAAGTCTGGAATAAGGTGGGAAAAATCTTGGGATCAAACAGGAAAAAGTCTGGAATGAACCAGATCCCAAATTCCCAGAATTCCCAAAGAATTTCCCAGGGAAAACAAGGAAAAAATCCTGGAATCAGATCCCAAATTCCCAAAATTCCTGAAATTCCCAAGGAAAAGAAGGAAAAATCCTGGAATCAGATCCCAAATTCACGGAATTCCACGGAAATGGGATCAAAATTCCACAAATCCCACCCAAAACATTCCGGAATTCCAGAATTCCATGAAAATGGGGAGGAAAAATCCGGGAAAATTCCCAGAAAATCCTTGGGAACATCCAAGGAAATCTTGGAGCACCTCAAGATGGATCTCCAGGATTTGATGGGAATGGGAAGAAAAATCTGGGGAAATTCCCAGAAAATCCTTGGGAATGTCTAAAAAGATCTTGGAATTTTGGGATTGGAGCGGGATGGATCAAAACTCCACAAATCCCACCCGAAATATTCCGGAATTCCATGAAAACGTGCAGCAAAATCCAGGAGAATTCCCAGAAAATCCTTGGGAATGTCCAAGGAAATCTTGGAATTTTGGGATTGGAGCGGGATGGGACCAAAACTCAAAAAATCCCACCCAAAACCATTCCGGAATTCCGGAATTCCATGAAAATGAGGAGCAAAATCCAGTAAAATTCCCAGAAAATCCTTGGGAACATCCAAGAAAGTCCGGGAATTTTGGGATTGGAGTGGGATGGGATCGAAGCTCCACAAATCCCACCCGAAACATTCCGGAATTCCAGAATTCCATGAAAATGGGGAGGAAAATCCAGTAAAATTCCCAGAAAATCCTTGGGAATGTCTAAAAAGCTCTTGGAATTTTGGGATTGGAGCGGGATGGGACCAAAACTCAAAAAATCCTCCCCAAAACCATTCTGGAATTCCAGGATTCCATGGGAATGGGAAAAAAAAATCCAGTAAAATTCCCAGAAATCCTTGGGAATGTCCAAGAAAATCTCGGAGTTTTGGGATTGGAGTGGGATTGGACGGAAGCTCCACAAATCCCACCCGAAACGTTCCGGAATTCCAGAATTCCATGAAAATGGGGAGGAAAATCCAGTAAAATTCCCAGAAATCCTTGGGAATGTCTAAAAAAGTCTTGGAATTTTGGGATTGGAGTGGGATTGGACGGAAGCTTCACAAATCCCACCCGAAATATTCCAGAATTCCATGAAAATGGGGAGGAAAATCCAGTAAAATTCCCAAAAATCCTTGGGAATGTCTAAAAAAGTCTTGGAATTTTGGGATTGGAGTGGGATTGGACGGAAGCTTCACAAATCCCACCCGAAATATTCTGGAATTCCAGAATTCCATGGGAATGGGGGACAAAATCCGGAGAATTCCCAAAAAAACCTTGGGAACATCCAAGAAAGTCCTGGAATCTTGGGATTGGAGCGGGATTGGATCGAAGCTCCACAAATCCCACCCGAAATATTCCACAATTCCATGGGAATTGGAAGAAAAAAATCTGGGAAAATTCCCCAAAAAAATCCCTGGGAACGTCCAAGAAAATCCCGGAATTTTGGGATCGGAGCGGGATTGGACCGAAACCCCACCAATCCCACCCGAAGCCATTCCGGAATTCCCACAATTCCGCGGCAAACCCGAATCCCAATCCCGGCAAACTCCGGGAGGACCCCGCCCCGCCCACCTGCGCCGCCTCCGCCTTGAGCTCGTCGGGAATTTTGGGAATCGTGGCCGGAGCCGGCTCGGCCCCTTCGCCCTTCTCCGCCTTCACCTTGACGTCGTCCGTCGGAATCGCCGTCGGAATCACCGTCGGAATCGCCGTTGGGTTTGCCATTGGAATCACCGTCGGATTTGCTGTTGGATGTGCCATTGGATTTGCTGTTGGATTTGCCATTGGATTTGCTGTTGGATGTGCCATTGGATTTGCCGTTGGATTTGCTGTCGGAATCACCGTTGGATTTGCCGTTGGATTTGCTGTTGGATGTGCCATTGGATTTGCCGTTGGATTTGCCGTCGGATTCGCCGTCGGAATCGCCGTCGGAATCGCCGTCGGAATCGCCGTTGGATTCGGCGCCGGATTCGCCGCCGCCGTTTCCTTCTCGTCCTTATCCAGGAGGTAGCGGAGCAGTTGGTGATCCTTGGATTCCTTCCTCCTCTCGGCCTCGCCGCCGTTCCCGGTGCCGTTCCCGGCGCCGTTCCCGGCGCCGTTCCCGGCGCCGTTCCCGGCGTTTTCCGCCTTCTCCCCGTCCGCCTCGGCGGGGCCGCCCTGGCGCAGCAGCCGGTGCAGGATTTTGTGCCGCTCGGTCAGCGAGCCGTGCGGCGCCGGCGCGGCGCCGTTGCCGGCGACGCCGTCGGCGCGCTGCCGCAGCTGCGCCTCGGCCGTGCTGGCCAGCAGCTGCACCAACCGGTGGCTGGTGCCGCGCGGCCGCTTCCCGCCGTCGCCGCCGCCGTCGCATCCTCCCGCCGGAATTCCTCCCGCCGGAATTCCCGGCTCCGGCGTTTTCTCCTTTTCCCGCGGCGCCTCGCTCTCCTTGGGATCGCGCGGCTCGCCCCTGCTCGGGCGCCCAGCCGCCGCCTCCGGGAACGCTCGGCAATTCCCGCCCGGCGCCGGAGCCATGGAATTCCCGGCCGGAGCGCGGCCCCGCGGCGCCGGCGGCGAGGGCCGGGAGCCGCCGGGGATTTGGCTTAAGGCAACGTTGGATCCCGGCGCGTTCCCGAAATTCCCGCCGGGAACGGTGGGGTGCGCCGCCCTCGGAACGGCCGCGCCCGCGGCAGCGGCATCCGGCGGGGACAGAATTCCGTGATCCCTGCCAGGGGGGAAAAACATGGAAAAATTGTTTTGTTTCCTGGTTTTTGGTGGTTTTGAATCCCTAAAAATTCCCCGCTTGGAATTCTGGATATTCCGACTCTTTTGGGACAGAATTCCGTGATCCCTGCAGGGGAAAAAACACGGAAAAATCATTTTGTTTCCCAGTTTTTGGTGGTTTTGAATCCCTAAAATTCCCCACTTGGAATTATGGATATTCCGACTCTTTTGGGACAGAATTCCGTGATCCCTGCCAGGGGAAAAAACATGGAAAAAGCATTTTGTTTCCCGGTTTTTGGTGGTTTTGAATCCCTAAAATTCCCCGCTTGGAATTCTGGATATTCCGACACTTTTGGGACAGAATTCCGTGATCCCTGAGGGGGGAAAAACATGGAAAAAGCGTTTTTTATCCTGGTTATTGGTGGTTTTGAATCCCAAACATTCCCCGCTTGGAATTCTGGATATTCCGACTCTTTTGGGACAAAATTCCAGGATCCCTGCCGGGGGAAAAACATGGAAAAATCGTTTTGTTTCCTGGTTTTTTTGGTGGTTTTGAATCCCTAAAATTACCCACTTGGAATTCTGACTCTTTTGGGACAAAATTCCGTGATCCCTGCCAGGGGAAAAACATGGAAAAATCATTTTGTTTCCCGGTTTTTTTGGTGGTTTTGAATCCCTAAAATTCCCCACTTGGAAATCCGACTCTTTTGGGACAGAATTCCGTGATCCCTGCCGGGGAAAAATATGGAAAATTTCCCTGGTTTTTGGTGGTTTTGAATCCCAAAAATTCCCCGCTTGGAATTCTAGATATTCCGACTATTTTGGGACAGAATTCCGTGATCCCTGCCAGGGGAAAAACATGGAAAAATCGTTTTGTTTCCCGGTTTTTGGTAGTTTTGAATCCCAAAAATTCCCCACTTGGAAATTCTGGATATTCTGACTCTTTTTCCAGGTCTGGAATTCCCAAATTCTGCTCCAAGGGCAGGGAGGATTCCCAAAAATTCCCTGCTCGGAATTCTGGTTATTCCAACCCTTTTTCCAGGTTGGGAATTCCCAAATTCTGTTCCACCTGCAGCAGGAATCTCAAAAATTCCCCGCTTGGAATTCTGGATATTCCGACTCTTTTGGGACAGAATTCCGTGATCCCTGCTGGGGAAAAATATGGAAAAATCTTTTTTTTCCCTGGTTTTTGGTGGTTTTGAATCTCAAAAATTCCCCGCTTGGAATTCTGGATATTCCGACACTTTTGGGACAGAATTCCATGATCCCTGCAGGGGGAAGAACATGGAAAAAGCGTTTTGTTTCCCGGTTTTT